ATGATCCATAATGTTTACATCATTGAGCGATCCGCGGCTGCCAAAAAGAATGTGCCATATCCAGAGCTCCCCGTCGCAAATCGCCTCTAGAACTACAGTAGGTTTCTTCTCCTTGCCTTTGAGCTGTCCCGCCCAAGCCATGGGACAGTTCTTCCATTCCCAGTGCTAACAGTTGATGCTGGCAATGCATCCTGGGAAGCCTGTGGATGCGTTAATGGATAGTATCCTACACAGATCTTCTTCTGTAGGCTGCTGGAAATACTCAAGGACCCCACTTCGTGACTACCGCTCACAAAACGCCTTCAGGGACTCCAGTATAGCATTCTCACGCATCTGTAGATACTCGTCGAGAGAGTCCGCCACCGATCCGTAACACAACATGCGAAATGCGACGACAACGCGGTGAAAGGGATGTATTCCGGGCTTGTGGACAGCATCTGTCCGTCGCACAAAAAGACCATGCCCACTGACCTCTTCGTAGACGCGATGAAATAGTTGACGAGACATGAGGAAACGTCTCTCAAAGTCTTTGGTGCAGTAGCGGGGTGTCACACCAAAGTAGTCTGTGAGGAGGCGGTCCATAGCTCCGTCGAAATCTCGAGTACTGTTCGGTCTTTTGCCTGCGCTGGTACCTGCAGGATATGTGGTTGATCGAGCGGCGAGACCAGGATGTATACCTGCTGCGATAAGATAGGACAGGTTTTCATCGTCGCTAGACTCACCGTCTAGCAACATTATGCTTCGCAAAGACCTGATTCTGCCGATCGTCAAGTGTTGTCTATTTTCTACGCGGTCGGGTGGAGCTCATTATCTATTTACCCCAGGTCTATTAATGAATAGACGAATAGAGTTGTCCAATCATATTGCCGCACCTGGATGGTAAATAGGAAAATAGACCCCAACGGTAGAGATACTCGTATTATCTAATACGCTGCATACAGTGAGCGAAAATACTGTAGTCCGTCCGGTGTCACTGCCCAGCGAACGATAAGCTAAAAGAGCGCCGGGCCGGAGGTAAAAATAGGCAAGCAGGCCTCCCCTTTCTTCCTATTCTCTACCCTCGACGACCGTACGGATAGAGAGTCAAATGAGGTTCTTAGCTGTACACGGGATGTAGTGAGCGATATTCTAGTAATTGTGCTCATTTGAAATGTGACGCACGTTCCTAGTTCTGTGTTGCGACTAGTTCGACTGTTTGCCCTGACGCTCCATCGAAGCGGTCCTTCAGGCTCCCTCATTTCGGTACAGCATGAAACTTCGTTTTGTTAAAAGTGCGCGGGTTACACTATGACGTGTACAAGAGGGTCAAAAATTCAATGGGGACATGAAAGAAAACGGGACATGACCAGTGAAAGAGTAGGCATTGAAAAGCTGTTAGAATGAAAGAAGAAGAGAAAGAGACTAAACTAGCAGGGATATATGGAGCACTTGTGAACTTTGATACTGCTTTAGTGAAGTTTATTCAAAATAGGGTGCGTACCCTCTTACATAATTGCACCATACTTGTAGTGCTAAAAGGGATGACGTATATAGGACAGATGCCGATAATGGCGGTATATTGGACATATATCGCAGCCTTTGCAGTAGTATAGGATAAAAGCCCCAAATAACTAGGCATTATCCATCAAATAGAGACCATATGATAGTGCTGGCTGAGAAATAAATAAGACTCACTTTTCCATTATCAACATCCGAAGAGTTACGGTCACGTTTGATTTCTCACTATTTTAAGAGCTTTGGCCACTGCACTCCAGAAGTACCACCATGCAGAGAGTAAGGTAACGTCGTGCATCGTCGGGGCTTACGATGAAGATTCATACATACTACACTTGGCTTCTTGTCAGGGTAGACTATGCACTTCAGCGCTGGTAGGGCGCAGTAAATCTGCCCAACCATGCTGGCAATAGTGGAGTAAGATGATGGATACAACAAGAGGCAATGATGCTTTGTTGAGAGGTGCATAGGCGCTCTTATGCAGCCTCTGGCGAAAATAAAGACATCTGTACGAAAAACAATTTCTCATGGTTCTTTAATATCGGGCGCGGTATAACAATCGTGAAGCTGACCTTCGTTACATAGATTTGCATTAAACTGATGAGAGTAATTTCTTTTCGTCACAAGACCGCAAATAAGTTCTCATCACTTCTTGCTGAAAGTCACTAATTACCTAATTAATCGTGGCTCTGGTGACAATTGGTATCCGTGTGATCAACAGGAAATTTACTCTGGCAGGTTCATGCCAGAGCCGTTTGAGCACGGTTTGCAAAAGTTGGTGGAGTTTCTCCCGAAAAGACGTATCAATAACCCTTAGGTTATTTGTGTATAACCGAAAAAGGGGCACGGGGCACAGTCCTAATTAGGAATGGGCTATTTTTCTGCACAACAGAGGCGTTGTGTTGTTGAATTGAATTCAGGTTATTGGAATAATCCAAGAAATGGGAAATTATCGGAAGGGATTAGTTGACGGGGAAATTAGGCTACAGCACATGAATACCGAAGGTGGTATCCCGGACGAACCTCGTGGGAATCTGCTACTCTCCCCGAGTGCCCACGTCAAGTTTCGTGACGTCTGTCCCTGAATTATTCCGGCCATTTCAGCTTTCGCAGCTCATTTCCCCAGCCGCTGCGCACGACGGGCGCAGCTACCGTCTAAACTAATTTACTCATTCTCCCACACGTGTACAGTCTTTCCCTCTGCTAGTTCTGACGGTTCTCCAAGACTGGCCGCAAGCCCTGGTCTCCCAGGGATATGGGTGAGTCCCTGTCCAAAATACTGGTCGCCTACAATCGGCGTTATCTTGGACTGCTACACATGGTTGCATTAATATCCAATACTTATCGAAACTTTGCGACTCCCGAGCGGAGCGGATGAGTAGAGTACTGAGTCTACAGCCGCTCTGTAGTGGGGACCGACGGGTCACCATAACACACTAAATACGTATAAGTTAACAATATCAAACCATTGAAAAGTTACGGGAGAAGGAAGATTCGCGACCTTGTCTTGGTTTTGGCCAAGATGATCGGGTTTTGTTTTTAGGTCAGGACTATCTCTCTATAATTTTGTATATTGTGCCATTTGGCGATAGATGATTGAAAGGAGCCACTACAAGGAGAAGTTGGTTTGACGAGTTCGTCGACGTCTGGAGAGCCGAGAATATGGACCAAAATCTCGCGTTGATTTGTTTTGCTAGCTGCCACACAGCGGTGGTGGTGGTAGTTTAGACGAAGCGGTCGTGTGAGGAGCACGGTTTGGGGTGTTAAAGGTCAGTTCGCTTCTAATTTCCAGGAGCACACTATACCAAAACAAGTTCCACGGTATCTACATGTGCGATGCAATAAAAGGTCCACGAAGTGCTTGTGCATGGGTGTAGTGGTTCTACAAAGCAGGGCGTTCTTCCTAATGGCGACCTCATTTCGGGAAAAGAACATTTATATAATTGGTGGGATCAGTGAGAACTTTGTCCATCTGGTGTCGTGTCACAGTCAGTAGTGGAGAGTTTTAAAGTAGCCGATTGACGCTTTCTGCAATTTAATTTTGAGGTGACATAAAGCGAAGAGGGTTTTTTAATATTTTGTCCAAATTAAAAGGTGTTAACGTGTTTTTTGCGAAAGTGGCGAGCCTTTTTTGGCGAAGCCTCATGGAGCAGAGGTGCGGCGTAAATATCTTGTGTCCACCGTACTCTGCAAGTTCCACTAACGCGGATACCTGCAGCTTGGCAAGTCCAATAATGATGTGGGAGAGTTTTGGCTTTGGCGGAAGTAGGAAAAGGGAATGTGAATCATAAAGATGAAAGTGGTGTTTATGGGATGGATATGAGTTCCATATTGCAATTGAGCTGCGTGTGTGTCTTACAGTTTAGTTTACGCACGTCCGGTTCTTTCAGCAGTGCTAGGTTCGAAAACAGTGCTTTCTAAATTACAGAATTGCGGCCAAAAAACCGACCTCACATGAGGTCAATTGCCTTCTAGACTCCAGGGGAGGCCAAAATAATCCTAGACAGCACAGATACTCGGTGAGGCCGTGTTCCCTTTCCGGTTGGGCTGTGAGCGACTGTTGAGACAGGAGCTGAAGTTCGGTATCTACCTAAGGGTAGCGACTGAAACTCACTGCCCGTTCCGCCTCAGGTTCCACGATGTGCATCTATGAGATTCGACACGTGTAGGAAGAACCAGTAAAAATCAAGTAGGCCGAGAAGTCGATCCAGTCTTCCTCGCAGGAATGCACATTACAAATTATAAACACCAAGACAGCTGGTTTGCATTGAGATGGAAACAAGGAGTAGGTCCTCAACCTACAAGCCACAGTCCTTGGCATGCAATCCACCCAAAAAAATCTCTACCCTTTTCCACTACTGTATAGAACTCGGTTCGTAAATAGGCGATTGGCCAACGTCTGTATCGACACTCTTCCTTTTCCCCCGATTGTCTCCGTTACGCATCAGCGGTGAGGCTCCAAAAAACTGAATTGCACTGCATTTCACGAATCCACAGGTGCTCCGACAGATGATCGAAAGGGCCTGAACTTTCCCTTTTCGCCTCCGCTCGCCTTGCGATGATTTAAAAGGGGAAGAATGGCGGAACGGGGACATTTCAAGCCACAACCAGGCAAAACACGACGTGTCGAATCGAAGTCATTGTAAATGACCGGCGGGATGTGGAGGGCTAGCTGTCGCTTATGACTGTCGCTTAAATTGTGCCCTCAAATTGCCTCAAAACTAGCAATACATCTTCATCCTGCAGCACCGAAATACATGGCTATCTCGCGTAACATTGCTCTGCATTGCGACTATGCATCTAACCCAAGTCTCTCGCCTTCTCTTACCTGGCATCCACCAACCACCCTTCCCCGTCTGACACTCCATCCTTCACTTACTCACACGCCATCTCCTCTCAAGCCGACCAAAATTCTTGTCAATGCAACTTGGCTCATGTTCACTACATAACGTCACCAGCTCGTCTTTGCTTCTCGAGATCATCCGGGTAGAGAGGCTCCCTTCCAGATGACCACACCTGATTTTTCAGTTTCATTATTCAGTGCTTTTCGTTCTCATTCTCAACAAACCTTTCTGAACATGTCGTCGCATCAGGAATACGCATACGAAAAGAAACGCCTGCTGGGCTCCGGCGCTCTTGTTGTATTCCCGACAGATGGGCCACCACCGCAGGTCACCACGCCCGTCATTACGCCAGGGCTTTTATTCTTTACAATCTATCCCACTTCCGTGAAAGATATTCAAATCAATGAACTTCTGTGGGAAATGAGTCAAAAGACATACTTTGCACAGGAAAACCTTGCGAAAGTATTGCCGCCAACTGCACCGAAGGACCCAATCTTTGCCGTTTTAATACCTCCACAACTTGCCCGCTTCCTGTCATCCGTATCGCTCAATGAAATGCGCGCAGCTGTGATATATATGCTCGCTGACGCTGCCCAAGGTGAGGATCCCAAAGGTCTGGCTCAGATGCATGCAGATTTGCCTCCTTGTGTATGGCGAAGCCTCAACTATCTCATGGACGAAACATTAGTGAGGCGAAACGCCGGATGGGGAGTTGCTGAGAATGCGGCGACGGGAGTTACACGCGCTTCGTTCCTTCTCGATGCTGCGCTTCAAACAGCCCCAAGTCAAGATTACTGGAAAATACAAGTCGAGGTTGGATTCGCACCACCAGCTTTGAAGCCTGCGATCGCACACCCTCCGCTTGCTCTTACATCTAAAGAAAGAAGAGCCATCGGTTTTCATTGCTTGCGCGTCTTTACCAAGTTGAAAGCGGAGGATGATGCTACCAGGAGAGATAGAGCAGGACCGAAAAGAGCTCAAGTTCTGCACAGTTTGTACGAAGATTGGCGTCGATATTCAGCTATCTGCTCATGGATCCCAAACCGCTCATACGGTTATAGGGCTCGGAACAAGGATTCCGAAGAGCATGCATGGAGGTATAAGAATGCTTTTGCACTCATGAAATGTCTTGTAGGGTGCGGCCGCCAACGGTATACCTGGGAAAGAGTTCGCAGTCTGAGGTTGTGTAGAAATGATAGTAACTCATTCGTTTCTTGGCTTCCACCACAAATCGTAGATCAAGTACTCGTCCCAATGCTTGTTATCATCGATGGGAAAACGGCAGCGCTGGCCCTTGGAAGTAGGTTTTCCAAGAAGGGGGAAACCCCCACTGGGACGTGGGGGAAGTGCGGTTGGTCATAGCAATGCTGCTTCCGTGAGAGCGAGCAGCATCGGCTCGGCTTCAATCTGACGGTGCTACTCTTGCTGCAGGGGCTCGATTTGAATAACAATCATTAATGCACATTTTGCGTGACATGACTTTGAAAGTCAAGGGGAATAAGAACGCGTCCATCCACAGAAAACGACCGTTCTCGGAGGAGAGTGAATAATCACATCGTGGCCTTTCTGATAGGTATTGTAAAATTAAGATCCGGGACAATTCTCATAGTCAGTGTCCCTTCATCAGAATACCTTTGCATTTTGTTCGTATACGCCGAGACTGTAGCAGAGAGAATGAAGTCGAGAAGCTGATCCACAGCACTTCGGATCACGGTCAGTACACCGTCAACAGTGTCGTTTGAAAGCGTCTCGGTTCCTAAAATGAGGCGTCCTCGCTAGTGCAATCGGCGTGTTTCGAAGTCTTTGAAAATGCTTCACCGCAACTACCTTCACTGTGAGGCGTGTCTCGACGGTAGATTCTCAGAGCATGTGTCATAGGTGATGAAGATGTCAAGAAGATCTCAGAAAAAGAACTCATTCTATCCACTTGGTATCTCCAGAAAGTAGAAAGTTGGAGGGAATGCGGCCTGGTGATGGGGCAAGGACAGTAAGTGTGTTTCTGTCCGAGTCAATCTTTACGACATGTACATACCCATAGACAGGCGAAGTAAGGACTTGCTCTTCCTTCGAGGCCTGACTAACACCCAAAACCTTGTGCAAAGTTTCGCTCAACGTTGTAATTCGAGAAGGCTTCAATGGATCGAGGCTGGACTGTGCACCAATAGGTAAGACGCTGTCCGGCACGACAGCCACCACGCCGCCAACCTTTAGGACAGTAATCTCGGAAAAATTGAGAACGGTAGAGAAGGGACTTAGCCGGTTGTCGGCACCATAAAAATAGTGCTTAATCTGACGGGAGCGCATCGCCATGCGCGAGGAGTCGTCATGAGACACAACACCACCGCTCTTCGACAACAAGACAGTCTCAATTGTTGAGTCCTCAAACTCGGTGTTGACGGAAGCATAGAGTCTCTCGGCGCCGAGAACAAACACGACGTCTGCTTTGACGGCCTTAACAGCAGAGATAACACAGGACGGTCCATCCGGGCCATCAATATCGCCCGAAGTATCAATAATGCATCCGGCGGATGGGCTCATATCCCGTTTAGACAGAAATCGATCAAGGATTTGCCCCATGGTATCAAAAATTTTGCCACTGACAAGGGAGTTCTGTCGCGGGGAAACGTGCCCGACCATGACGGAGGTGCGCTTATCATGGACAAGGCCGCCAGACTCAAGGTCCAAATGCTTGACAACAGATAGCGAGACGGCGCCAGGAACGACGCCTGCAGCGCCGCAGCCTGAAGGGTCGAGATCGACGACGATGACGCTCGTATTAACCTTGACACAATACGTGGCCAGAAGCTTGACCAAGGTGGTCTTTCCGCAATCCCTCGGGCCGACAACCATGACCCTCGGGCCTGGAATACCGGCCGACATAGCGAGATTTCGTCTCGATTGGAGGATGGAGTGCGCGGATATATAATGCGGCATCGGTGTATCGCCAGCAGTGTAGGCCATGACGTTGGACGGGGCAGCTAAGGAGAGGGTTGCACCAAGCCATGTGAATGCTGCGGCATTGAGACCTGGGGGTAGAGTGTAAGGTCTGTTAAGGGCAAGCTCGATTCCGAAGACCTCTGCGGAGCCGTGCTCTAGGGTGAGGTTGATGTCCGAGGCGTTGTCGAAGGGGATTTCGAAGCGGAGTTCGTGCTCGGCCGGAAGAGTGAACTTTCGGGGTGTGGAGATTCCTTCGACCGTATTTCCCGGCTCGCCGATTGTCGGGGCGCTCATTGCCGGGGGAGTCGGGATCGGGCGAGGAGGGTGGCACGGTATAGTGACTGCGTTGACAAGTTGGAACAAACATGAGCAATTGAAGAGCAATGAATAGAGCCGTAAGAGAACTGGTACGAATTGAAAAAGAATTTCAGGGGATAGGCGATTGGTCAGTCAATACATATGTGCTGTGATGATTGGTCAGTGTGGGGTATGAGAATCCGAGCGGAAAATGCGGAAGTGATGGCGAGCTAATGTGTTTCGCTGGCATATGTCGACGAGGCTCTAGCCTTCCTGCTGACTTTCCCTCTTCATCATTGCGACTCTCTCCCAATTCTTGCCCCTCACACTTTCCCACACTCTTCCCGCCCACTTTTACGCCCCACTCTTCCGCCACCCTTCCCATCCGTTTTCCTCTCCAGAGCAACCGTCACGTTCATTCGTCTGCTCCCCCGTCCATGTGGTGCTTACCCGTCCCTACTCGGCCAGCCGGTTAGCTTTCCGCGCGCACCGCATCACGCCGCCGCTCCATGTCTGCCTCCGCTGCTGTCGCACTCGCCCGTGCACAAGCCCAAGCTCACGCACACGCCCGTGCCTATCCTGCTATCACTCTTTCAGAGGCCTCCACAGAGCCAAGGTCCAGACATGTCCATGAGACACTCATGGGCTCCATGATGGCACGGTCTACACCTAGGGTCTTGTTCTTCTCGAAACATGTCAGGCGCACTATCACCCTGCTTGAAGCCCTTGCCGCTATTTTGTCATTTTCCCTCTTGGTTATCTTGTGCGTCTTGCATACGAGGTTTGTCAGGAGCCATGGTTGTGCACCGCTCCTTCATGGATGGGACCTCGCACAAGCCCATCAGCCAGACGCAGAGGGCAAGGCACAAGTTATCGAGATTGGCTTGCTGCATGCCCACGATCCTGTTCCGCGAGCGAGGTTCCGCTTTTCTCAGGAAAGAGGCCTCTTGCTCCTGTCTGACCGCTCCCTCAACGCCTTGAATGTCACAGTGGCTCGTATCCCCTTGCCGTCCAGCCATATTTGCCTTGGTGATGCGGCTTCCAGATTTATCTTGCTCCGGGTTGTGGGCTACGAGACTGTTGTCATGAATGCGTTTGCCAAAATGAGAAGACGCATTAAAAGCCCACACGGGTATGTACTCTCGTTGCAAACAAGAAGGGTCCTCAACCTCATGCATGCTGATCCGGGTCTGGCACCTGAACAGATGCATGCCGTAACGCGAATAGCCTTGCGCCTCGTATGGAAGTGCGGTGCGATCCTCACTGCTGCTTTCATCATGTGCACCACGGGCGCTTTGGTTGCCTTCACGCTAAAGGAGGTTCAATTACGTATGATCAAGCTCACCATGGATTTGCAGTATGTTATGCGCTCCCAGATGGGTTATGGCCACGTGATTGTACGGTATGCGATGGACGCTCTTGTCTTCGTGCCCATCATCGCGGGAATGCTGTTTTTTCTCTTCGAGTTTTTCGATGACCAAGCCCTAGCATTCGTCGTCCTTATTCTTACGTGGCTATGCGAGTTGGCAGCGAGTGGTAGCACTCGCCATTGGATCAGTCGCCAGTATTTGCCAAGACTCTTCCTGTGCTATTTCGGCGCCTTTCACGTTTACTTTTTCTCGTTTCCCCTTGGATTTAGCTGGCTTTCCCTCGCAACAGGCTTGTTATTTATGGTTCATGCAGCGCTATCCGTGTGGAACCATTGCGAGTTGCCCTTGCTGCGACGACAGCGAGACACTCCGCCGCGGCAGAGGTCGAGGTAGTTCCATGCTACGTATGAACTAGTGTTGCAACCACGCCACGGCTGTTGTTACGCCCTGCTGTCATTCTGCGCACGAACATTGCGTGGATGTACTACAGATTGTATTAGTACCATACGTCAGCACATAGAGTCAGACATTTGGACGAAGTTGTAATGTTATGGTAATGACATGAACTTATACTAACTTTATTAGTGAAAGCCGTCGAGACCTGCGATGCGTGGTCTTGGAATTGCATATCTCAGGAAAGTTCCTTTGTTCTGAAGATCCTCCCTGACTTGAGTTACAGTAATCATCTTTTGGGCTCAGTAGGACCTACCCCCGTTTTGTAGTCAGTCGAGAGTCTAATTTTTAGCCATAAACCGCCTAAGTCTGTGACCTTTTTGTACCCTAGCGACAAATATCCTCTTTCTCGCTGTTGCATGATCCCGTCGGCGGTTACCTTACCATGACAATGTCATCAATCTTCAAGAGCTGGCGCACGCATTCTGTTGCAAGAGAAAGTGCTGAACTGAACACCAGCAGGGGCATGACAACATTTTCTTCGCTGATATTCGTAACCGCGCCCTTTGGCACGTTGATGCCAGCTCCCGACTCTCCAGCTGCGTGGCGACGCCGCAATTCAGTCACAATTTCAACCGGTGAAAGTCCTGCATTCTCTGCGAGTGTAAAAGGAACGACGTTCAACGCTTCAGCGTACGCTTCCATACAATACGCTTCCATTCCACTTTTCTCCTTTGCTGCTCGAGACAGTAAGACCGATACCTCGGTTTCAGGGGCACCTCCGCCCGGAAGTAAATACTGCTTGTGCACAAGTGAACGAACAACACACAATGCGTCGTGGAGAGAACGTTCCGCTTCGTCTAATAGAAGTTGGTTCGAACCTCGAACTAGGATCGATACGGTTTCCTTTGGTGTCTTTGTGACCCCGGTCATCTTGATCATCTTGTCGGTGCCAAGGGAAACCTCTTCAACAAGCTCAACCTTCGCCATTTTGTCAGCTGTGAACGATTCAATTCCTGCAATCGGCGTGAGCCCGAGACTCTTTGAGATGAACTCAACTTCGTCACGCTCTATATCGTTGACTGCCATGATCTTCATTTTAGCAAGGAAGTGCAGGCTGAGTTCAGTTGTCGCATCGCGAAGGATGCTCTTTTGAAGAAGAACGACATTGCAACCTGCTGCTTTGATTTTCTTACACAACCCCAAGATATAAGTTCTCTCTTCCCGAAGGATTCTGTCCATAGCTGTATAATCCTGTACAACAACTGAATTTTCCACATCCGTCTTGGGCGGGCTGAGACAGAATTGGATGAGGGCAACCTTGGCGTTAGTGACCTTGGTGACGGAATTTGAGCCGCCCTTGGCAACTGGTTGGCTTAGAAGCAATCCGTCTACCATCTCAGTGTCGTCAAGTGTACCACCCAGCTTCTTAACGGTCCGGATATTCTTTAGGTCAACAAAAGAAGTTGTCGACTCAGACGTGACACCCTTCATAGGGACAGCGCCATTTCCGTTTTCTAACACGACTGCGGAGTGCTTAGCCTGAGCCCCTTTTACAGCTAACACGGCATCAACCGCAATGGGAGCAAGCAAGTTTGCGTATTGACGAACGACCTTGGAGTTGAGACTCGTGGTGGCAGCCTGCTTAAGGGCTTCTTTGTCTTCGAGGTTGACTGGTACAGCCATCTCCTTCACGATTTGCAGAGACTTGTCCAGGGCGACTTGAAAGGCGTCTGATATGGCGGAAGGGTGAATACCGCTTCCAAGCAAGTCAAGTGCGGCACTTAAAAGTGCTCCGCAAATGACAACGACGGACGTAGTGCCATCGCCCGCCACGACGTCCTGCGAGCGGGAGAGCTGTACGAGCATCTTGGCGGCCGGGTGCTCGACCTGCATCTTTTCGAGAATGGTGGCACCGTCGTTGGTGATGAGGACACCGCCATCTGCAGTTTGCACCATCTTATCCATACCGCGTGGCCCAAGGGAGGTCCGAACTGCATCGGCCACGGCTTTCGCAGCCGTGATGTTGTTTCTTCTAACATCCTTTGACTTCTGAGACATCCGGGAGCCGGATCCTGTGCCGACGCCACCGCTGCCGCCGCTAATGCTCATCCCACCACCTGGTACTGCTTTCACTGCAACCATATCTGACACAGGCAAAGATCAGAGTGAAGTGAAATCGATGGAAAAGGCACGAACGTTAAAAAGCAAGATTTGGGAGCAGGGGAGCTATGCAGTTGCTGACCCGAGTACGCGGGCGGTGAAGAAAGCGACCAACAAGAGGCGGGAATTTGTTGATCCGATTTCCCAAAATCTGTTACAGTGCTTGCAGTTGAGCCGACAAGGGGCGGGACATGGCCACGTCCTGTGCAGTATGACACGTTAGCAACGTGTATGATCGGACCAGTTTCGCACCTGCGACGTGTACACGTGTTTGCGAGACAGATCTCCCTTCAGGGAGCCCAAGATGAAGTAGGGCGGCCCCGCACGTGGTCGGAGCGAACGCGAATACGCATCCCAAGGAACGGTCACATCCATCTCGAACACGCCATGGCTTTATTCTTCGCTTCCCCCTTGCCCGTGCCTCGTTTACACACGCATCACTCTTTCACTTCTCCCAAACGAAAGCGGCATGCCCCCCGCCCAACCTGCGCGTCCTCATCATCAGCGACGCCACCAGACGTCCTCGTCCGGCCGCAAACATCGTCCCCAGCCGTGATTGTGCGCGGCAAGGACCGCGTAAGCTTTGTCAACGGGATGGGAACGAACGCCTTTTCCGAGTCGATGAAGCAGCCCGTGCAGTCCGTGTTCACCACAAATGTCGGTCGCTGCGTTGACTTGGTCACCGCGGTGCAGATGGATGAGCACGTGCTCTTGCTATCGTCCCTCCCGGAGGGCGAGCTGTATCAGTATCTGGATCGATACATCTTCCCCGCGGACGACGTGGCGATCGAAGACTCACCGCTTCGGAATGCGGCGCAGGTCATGGGGAAATCGGCGGCGGATGTGCAAGTGCCGGACGGGATGATGGCGATTCCGACGGTGTTCGGATGTTTGGTGATGGGGGACGGGAATGATGCTCTGCAAGGCGAATGGGTCTCGCGGGTGGGGAGCAAGGTTGGGGACGAGGAGTGGGAGGTGGAGAGGGTGCAGCGAGGGATCCCTCAGCTCGGCGTGGACATCACCCGTGAGCAAAACGCATTGGAAGCTGGTTTGTGGGGATGGGTGTCGTTCGAGAAGGGGTGCTACATCGGGCAGGAGACGATTGCAAGGCAGAATACGTACAATGGCGTGAAGATGGACTTGAGAGCAATGCAGTTTGAGGGACAAGTTGCTGCTGGGGATGCGATAGAGGGCACGGTAGAGGGGGGCAGGAAAGGTGGGTTTATTACGAGCGTGAGTGTCAAGGAGGGACGGTGCAGGGCGTTGGGATATGTCAGGAGGAAGAGTGGGTTGAGCGAGGTCGGGAGGACGGTCAGGGTGGGGGGAGTGGAGGGAGTAGTTCTGGAGGCACCGGCGCTGAGTTATGGGTACGAGGAACGGTCTTTGCTTGAGTTGTAGAGGCACGACATGCAGACATGCAGACATGCAGACATGCAGACATGCAGACATGCAGACATGCAGACATGCAGTGATGAGAAAGGTCTTGGTACATATGAAGGCGGGCATCGGTCCAGGCGGTGCAGCACCTTCCTTCTCTGGCGGTGACTGCTATCCTTCGAAGGGTACTGTAGATGTTGATCGCGATCACCAAAATCTGCTGCTCCCTTGTGGTGATGCCCATAGGGTATCTACGGTAGGAACTTCCTACCGTCCTACTAGGAAGGTGTGTTAATGTAAGCTTTGCCACGCTTACATTAGGGATTTAGGGGATTTACAGTCTTCCCGTTGGATCAACAGTTGACCTCGGCGCTCCAGCAGTTGTTGCAGAATGGAACAATTCGGCCTACCCTTGGTAGGAACGGCCCTCACACACATCACATTGTTGCAGAATCTATTGTTCCGTACGCTATCAACAGTTTGCCAATTATGTACCGTACCACTCGGTAATGCAAAAGACACAAATATTTTCAGAAAAAGCGCTCCTGAAGAGATCACGTTGTACACGTTTCGTCCATAAATTATCGAAAGTTCACAATCTCCCAACCAATGAAGGAGGCTCCAGCGGAAGCGACGTGATGCAATGGCCCGGCCATCTCCTCATGCCTTGGAACCTCATCTGCCAGTAGGACGCATTGTGTATAAATTTACTGTACCCTTGGTACCACCCCGTTCCACAACGCCACAGCCTGGCACTGTGGAACGGGGTGGTAGCGGGTACAGTATGCACAATTCCATCCTACTGGTCGCCTCGCCCATCTTCACTCTCCCCTTCCATCTCTATTTCACCCCTTCTGCCTCCTCACCCTCCCTCTTCTCGCCATCTACCTCCGAAGTCCCATCCCCATCCCTTCTTCTTCTCACCCTTCAATCCGATCCGCGGCCTGGACGCTCTGTCGTCCCGCTCTGTCGTCCCGCTCTGCTCACATCATGGCCGCTTCAGCCCCCATCAAGCTCAAGGAGGCCTTCTCCATGTTGTCTGTCGGCGTACATCCCTCCTCCCTCACCTTTTCTTCCGCCTCCCTCTCATCTGATCGCCACGTCGTCATCCACGACCACCAGCCATCTACTGGTGCTAAAGAGCTCCTCATCCTCGACACCGCCAACCCCACCGCTCCAAAGCGTCGCCCATTTGCCGCTGATGGTGCCCTCATGCATCCATCAAGGTACCTCATCGCCCTGCGATTCGGCGTCAACGTCCAGCTCTTTGACCTCGACACTAAAAAAAAGATCAAAGTCGCAGTCATGCCGGACGCTATCTCCTTCTGGCGCTGGCTGGACAATGACATTCTTGCCATTGTCACATCCCACGCCGTGTTTCACTGGTCATTAAACGACCACGATGGCCAAGAGGACCCCGTCCAAATCTTTGACAGGCATTCTTCCCTTTCTGCCTGCCAGATCATCGGATACGCCGCAGACAAATTTCAAAAATGGCTTAGCGTTGTGGGGATCGGCGCTGACGAAGCTACGGGCGCCATCACGGGCCATTTGCAACTCTTCGCTGTTGACAAGAATCTTTCACAGATTCTCGACGGACATGCTGCAACTTTCGCTACGTTTGCCATGCCGACGTACGAGGCAACCTTGTTTTTGTTTGCGTCCTGCGTCCAGAAGTCGGAAGCGGAGTCAGGCGTAGAGTCAATACTGCGTATCATTGAAGTTGGCGGCCAGGGCCAGTTTGGGAAACTCTCTACAGACATTTATTACCCGCCAGAGTTTTCTAACGACTTTCCGATTGCCATCCAAGTATCCACAAAGTATCCCACCATCGTTTACATGATCACCAAGATGGGATATATGCACTTGTACGACGTTGAGACAGGAAAGTGTATTTACATGAACCGCGTCAGTGACACCACCATTTTTGCGACTACGCCGCACACGGCATCTGGTGGACTCATGGGTCTCAATCGGAAAGGGCAAGTCCTATTGATGTCTGTCAACCCGGACAGCATTGTGCCATACGTTCGCTCCAAGCTTGAGGACGAAGAGCTCGCGGTAGGTCTCGCGTCAAGAAACGGTTTTCGAGGAGCGGAGAGCGGTTTTGCTGATGGCTTCGAGGATGCAATGGATGATGAGCAGTACCGCAAGGCTGCTCAACTGGCAGCGGAGTCACCAGGCGGCTTCTTGCGAACGGCCGAAACAATTGGTAGATTTCGAGCCTTGCCACCAGAGCACGAAGGGGGTCCACCGTATGTTCTCATCTATTTTCAGACTTGTCTTGATCGCGGTAAGCTTAACGAGATTGAGAGCATTGAGCTTGCCAAGCAGTTAGCGTCCACAAAAAAATTGCCATTACTTGAAAAATGGATCAAAGAAGAAAAACTGGCGTTTACGGAGGAACTCGGTGATGTCGTACGGCAAGCGTCGCCCACCTTTGCGATGGCCATATATATCAAAGCGGGTAAGCACGAAAAAGTAATGGAATGTATGGTTGCAACTGGACAAACTTCGAAAGTAGCTCTGTACGCAAAGAAAGTCGGAATGAACGTGACACATCGTGATTTGGTAGATATGGCCGCGCGATTTAACCCTGAGGCTGCCCTTGCAATTGCCAACAACACAAGTAATGCGTTAGTACTGTCCGATCCCCGGAGGAAGAAGGAGTCTATAGAAGACATCGCGAAAATGGTAGACATGTTTTTGTCAAAGGGAATGTTGAATGAAGCCACCAGCCACGCCATGGACACTTTAACAGATGAAGACCCGTTGGAGGGTCCCATTCAAACAAAGATATTGAAGGCTTGCTTGACGAATAATCCTGCTGTTGCAGATGGCATTTTGTCGCAAGACATATGGCACCAGTTTGATTCCTTCAGCATTGCTATGCTTTGTGAACGTGCAGGCTTGTTCCAGCATGCTCTGGAGCACTACTCTGATCTTTCTGACGTGAAGCGAGTGATTACTAACACGCATGTGATCAACCCGGAGTTCATTCTCAATTACTTTGGAACCGTGCATCCTGATAGTCAACTGGAGGTGTTGAAGGAATTGCTGGTCTCGAACCCTCGGGCCAACATACGATTGTGTGTCAATGTTGCCGCCCAGTACACAGACAACATGGGTGGACCCAAAAAGGTCATCCCTGTTTTCGAAGCAGTGCCTAAGGTGCCGGACGCTTTGTTTTATTATTTAGGATCTATTGTTGGATTTTCTGACGTGCCTGAGGTGCACAATCGCTTCATTCAGATTGCTATTGAACTTCAGCAGTACAGTGATGCAGAAAGAGTGACCCGTGAATCTAACTTCTACGACCCAGAAAAGATCAAGAACTTCTTGAAAATCGCACGTCCAAGAGATCCGCGAGCACTTATCAACGTGTGCGATAGATTCGGGTACGTAGATGAGCTTGTTGCGTACTTTGTCAAGAACCGACAAATCAAGTTCATCGAAGGTTATGTCCAACGGGTTAACCCCCTGCAATGCCCGGCCGTCATAGGAGCCCTACTGGACACGGATGGGATGAAGGAGAAACCGTTAAAGCAATTGATTATGTCAGTGAAGAACATGGTACCGGTGACCGAACTGGTGGAGGCAGTGCAGAGCCGGGGAAAGCTGAAGCTGCTCTTAGAATTTCTGGAGAGCCGCATCGGAGATGGTGCAACCGAGCCTGCCGTTCACACTGGTGTCGCCAAGGTTTACGTGGACACAAACAGAAATGCACAACACTTTTTGGAAACGAATCCGTACTACGATTCACGAGAGGTGGGAAAATACTGCTCAAGGCGCGATCCTTTTTTGGCCTTCATAGCATTTCGCAGGGGGCAATGTGATGAGGAAGTTCTACAACTGACGAACGATAATTCTCTCTTCCGAGAGCAGGCCATCTACGCAGTTGACCGCGCTGATTCTGAGCTATGGTCTAAAATTTTTGCAGATAACAATCCGTTTCGCCGTCTTGTGGTTGATCAAGTGATATCAACCGCGCTGCCGGAAAGTAAGAAACCAGAGAAAGTATCAGCAGCCGTTCGGGCATTTTTGGATGCAGGGATGCCCGATGTCCTGATGGAGATGTTAGAGAAACTTGTAATGCAGACGAGTAACACTGCTTTTGCACGCAACACAAACCTCCAAAATTTACTCATTCTTACCGCGATTGGAGCTGCTCCGGAAAGAGTTATGGAATATGTTCGCCGTTTAGACAATTACGACGGACCAGACGTTGCTCCCTCTTGCATCGGAGCCGGTCTGTTCGAGGAAGCCTACACAATTTACTACAAATTTCAGAAGTTCGATGACGCGTTAGATGTATTGCTGGACCATCTCAAGGACTTTGACAGAGCTCAAGAGTTTGCAATTCGGATGAATAGAGTAGATGTTTGGTTACGACTTGGTATTGCGCAGTTAGAGAATGCCTTCGTCGCAGATGGCATTAAGTCTCTCATGCGAGCGAAGGATGTGACTCAACACTCTCTTGTTGTTGATGCTTCGAGGAACGATGCAGAGACGACAGATGACTTCAAGATGATTGCAAAGTTCATGCGAGTTGCGCGGAAGAAGATTAGGGAACCTGAACTGGCCCGCCAAGCAATTGACACAGAGCTCGTCTATTCACTTTGTCGCCTGCATGCGTTGACGGATGTAGAAGAATTTATCATCACACCTGGGCACCACACCAACCTTGAGGAAGTCGGCGACAGATGTTTCAATATAGAACTATATCAGGCTGCTAAGATGATGTTCAGGGCAATTCCGCAATATCCGAAACTGGCTCACACGCACATCATGCTGAAGGAGTACAAGGAGGCAGTGTCTGCTGCGAAGAAAGCAAACAGAATTCCCACATGGCGCATTGTTTGCTTCGGTTGCGTAGATAGGAAAGAATTTTACCTCGCCGGCCTATGTGCCCTGCGGTTGGTGGTGGAAACAGCAGAAATGCAAGAAGTCATTGACTATTATGAGGAGAGAGGACACTTTCAAGAGATCATCGACGTTCTTGAAGCAGGCTTAAATGTATCCCGGGCACATGCCGCAATGTTTACAGAGCTCGCAATATTAATGACGAAGTACCGCGAGCATCGCGTGCTGACATTCTGTCGAATGTGGCATGGGCGCTTGAATATTCCGAAAGTGTGTCGTGCTTGCGAGAGATCACACCTTTGGGATTCTCTTGTCTTCTTGTACGTACAATACAGCGAATTTGATAACGCAGCCAACGTCATGATGGATCATTCCCCGACGGCGTTCACTGCTGGAGAGTTTTTGGATTTGATCTCTCGTGTGGGAGCGATGAGCATAATGTACCGCTCTATCGATTTCTACCTGGGGGAGCAACCGGAGCTGCTTGAAGATTTGCTGAACGTACTTGCACCGCGCGTTGACGGATCAAGAGCTGTCTCAATACTACAACGCGCTCGCCAGCAAGAGTTCGGGGAGCTTGGATGTCTTCCATTTGCCGTGAAGTATTTAGAAAAGATTCAGTCAGCAGACGTTCCCGAAGTGAACGAAGCTCTGAATGCAGTATATATTGCGGAAGGGAACTTCGAAAAGCTCCGCCACTCTGTGGATGAGTTTAAGAACTTCGACCAACTAGTTTTGGCGTCGAAACTTGAGTCTCATGAACTCATTGAAGTGAGACGAATTTCATCGCACTTGTACGCTCGCAACGGAAGGCATGAGAAGGCGATTGAAATGTCCAAGAAGGATGTGCTGTACGGTGACATGATTTACGCGGTGGCACAGTCGGAGGATCAGGAATTGGCAGAAATGTACGCTGCATACTTTGCTGAGAAGGGCTTGCAAGAATGCTTCACAGGTTTACTCTATGCTTGCTACGAATTCTTCCCTCCAGACATTGCGATGGAATATGTGTGGATGGGCGGATTGAAGGACTTTGCGATGCCGTTCCTAATTCAAACGCTTGCAGAGGCAGGATCAAGATTGACAGGTCTTGAGGAAGAGCGAAAAACTAAGAGGGAGATTGAAGAAATTAAGCGAGCAGAAGAGGAAGAGGATTTAGATGACCCATCCATTCTTCTTTACGGTTTGCAACCAGAGCAACAGCAATTGATGTTGACATATCAGCAAGCCGACGGGGGGGTTGTTGGTGGTTCCGCTCTAGCTGGGTATGGAGGAGGAGGGAATGTTCCACTAATTGGATGGGGTGGACCCGGCGCCGGGCAAGTCGACCCCATGGCTGCCTACACGACGTACGGCATTGGGAACCCGATGCAGAACAACACTAACATGATGATCGCGCAACAGGCTTACATGACAGCTACAGCTAACTACCAGACGATGCAAGCGCAGCGATACTAAGCGAGCGCTGAACTTGCGTAGCATGCTGTGTAAAAGAGATGCTAATTATAAGTAAAATGTACAAACGAAATGGACAGAATCTGGTGGAAGAGAGCGGGTGCGATAGCTTGTAGTAGATGTTCGGACGGACTTGTGCCGGAGAACACTCCCTGAAGCTGAACGCATGATTGCTCGATTGCTCGATTGCTCGGGAATCACGCCGGGGCGGCATGCTTTAAGCTTGTGGGACGGGTGATAGGTTGAGCTGCTCTTTCGTGGCGAAAATACCTAGCGGAGTTCTATGCCTGACTACCCTTTAAGGGTAGACGCCCAAGACGGTGAAAAAGAGATGATGTACAGTAATAAAGAGAGAGGGCGGAATTGGGGGCATTCCCGAGCCCTGAGAGGGTGTAAGATTGTGCACGAGAGAAAATCTCAAAGATTTTTGCCGTCAACGGAGGGCGGTGCGCCATCCCACCTCGAGATTCAGCTCTGCCGGGCACCTCCTCATTACTGCAACCTCAGAAACCCGAGCATTTCACTTTCCCATCGAATGCTCATTACGCCCACAGCACCCGAGACAATTCCCTTTCACTGCGCAAGAGCACCAACTCCTAACCGCCATCTCCCGCAGACAACATCCCGGTCGATCTCTTTTCGTAACGAGATGAATCCTGCCTTCGTGGTGGTGGGCGCGCCCTCCTCCTTCACCTCGCGCGCTTCCCATTTCTTCGGCTCCGCGCCACTATGCGCGCGACCGCGCTCCGTGCTGCGAAGAAGGCGGTGCTTCATCCATACCGACGCGTTGCCGTACAACACGCAAACGCAAGGCAGGTTTGCAGAGCGGGCGACGTCGACGCCAAACCCGCCGCCGCCGGGGCGCGAGGACGAATTCGCAGACGTGAACGGGGACTCGCTGGAAGAAAAGCAGTCGTCGTCCGTGGCGACGTTGGATCCCGAGCGATCGTTCGACACGGTGCTGCAGGAGCTCACCGCCATCCAGCAGGACGGGCCGCGCAACGTGGCCATTCTGGGGACGCGGTACACGTCGTTTTTGCACCAGCAGATCATCGAGTTGCTCACGTATGCCAACGTGCTCCTGGGGAATCACGTGTTCACGTCGGGCGCGGGGGGGACTAATGCTGCGGTCATTCGTGGGGCGCTGCGCGCGGAAAAGCCGGAGCTGCTCACCGTGGTGCTGCCGCAGAGCTTGTATAAGCAGCCCAGGGAGACGCAGGAGCAGGTAAGTCCGGGGCGAGCGGGTTGTTCGAAAGGGCTTTTTGTGCAGATCAGATCAGAGATGCGAAGACGCAGGACTGCTCCCTGCTCCCTGCTCCCTGACACACACGTTTTTTTTTTTTTTTTTTTTTTTTTTTTTTTTTTTTTTTTTTTTTGCAGCTTTTGAAAGTGCAAAACCTTATTGAGATGAAGAAGAACGACCCTCTACCGCTTGACATTGCGTCGCAATTGTGCAACTCGGACATTCTGTCGAGATGTACACATTTTATTGCTTTTGCATTTCATGACTCTGATGTTGTGTAAGTCGGCCACATTGTCCATTTGCAGTATGGGATGGTTGTTCTCCACGTCTTGTCCCAACTCAGTTGGCAGAGGTTTGATATGAGGTGTGGCAGTTAATACACAGCAACTAACGCGCTCATGTGTTGCATTATTGGGTTTTGATTTGGATTGGAACATAGGTTGGAAGCTGTGCGGCAGGCAAAGGAGTTGAGTATCGTTGTGACGGTCTTGTATTTGGATTGATGATTCGGTTTGCGATATACGGTATAGACTGCACAAGCACCCAAGGTGCATTCTAACATAGGACTGCTGGCAGTCCTTGGCACCAAGTTTGTCCTCCAGTCGGTGACTTTGTTGTCCGTCTACAGGCCCGGCGTGCTGCCATTGAGACAGCATGGACTGAGATGACGTCGTAAGAGGACTTACTTTGTTCGAGATACTGTACGGGTGAGGAATGGGCACGAAATGTGATTTCTGTTCTGCCATTGAGATTACAGTGTAAGGTGGGGGATCAGAAATCCGACCCCTGCTGTTACACTGTACAGTGGACGCAGTGGATGGACCCACTGACGCACTGGGTCCATCCAGAAATTACCATTTCGCCAATTCATCAAATTCTGGTTGTCTTGCAAAGTTACAGAAATTTACAGTACCACCCTCACCCCTTGTTCGCTACAACTTTTCCGATTTCACCCGTCTGTTGCCACCAAAATGCACCTGATCGCCCCCCTACTCCCCCCCCTAAACGCAACATTATCAAAACAAGCCCCCGCCACTTCGCCAAATCGCCAAAGCTATGATTATGGCGCCAGCTGTGTAATTACTCCAATTACTCGCGACCCAAAGCCCACCATCACACAGTAACGGCCACATTCACTACTGGTTTCCATGTTTCTTGACGACTACGACCGGAAATCGTCGCCTTTGCCGCATGACAAAATTTCATTCCACGGTGCCGTCTCTCCCTTATATATTTGTATTCGTGGCAAAGCACAATCCGCTCACAACTCAGAGTCATACTGTACCCTTAAGGGTAACTAGAAACAGAATTAAAGGGATCGATACAGTTGTATCGATCCCTTTAATTCTGTTAATTCTGTTTCTAAACTATTGGGGCACCATACCCCTTATCAATTGCTTCCCCACCAACGCATCCGATTACAAACGTCTACTCAAGCTTACAGTACGATGACTCCAAGCCCGGGCTCCAAGCTCCCGGGAGACTGCGTCTGATATGCGTCTGATATGCTGCATCTCTTTACTACATTCATGCCTTTTGACATACATTTCATTCCATACGCATCCTTGCAGATCCTTCCCTCATGATACAGGAAGACAGCTTGAGATCAGACATCTCACATGCACGCTGAGAAACGTAACAGAGGAATAAAACTCTCTCAAGTCCGGGCCATGAAAGGGCATACAATTTCTCTTTTAGAGCGATGTAGCACTGTGAGGCAATCTGGTACAAACATGTTAGATTGGCGACCAAGTGTGCCCAACCCATTTACATGCTACTTGCACTACTAAGGACCATCGCTACGCCAACTTGACACCAAACGTCCTTGTTTTCTATGCAAACTGAGTGATAAATGACATACATATGCACACAAGTCGTCACCCATTCCATCAACATCCATCGTCTATCCACTCTGATGTCGCAATTCTCGAGGGATTACGTCTCACATTACAAACGAGATAAAATCTCCATCACCTGCTGCCCATTCAAATAAACTTGTTCTTCTTCCTACTGCCCGCAGAGCCAGTCATCCACCTGTCGCTAGTCAGCGCCCCAATCTGACCGCTCAACACACGTTATCCGAAATCCATAAAAACACATATACATTACAGCACCACGCTAGCGTAACACTGACATGGAAAGCATCGACGACGAAAAGACTCAATAGTAAAGATGTTGATGATGATGAAGAGGGAGGTATGGACAACTCAGGCACAATTACAAAAGGTTCACGGACGCGTAAGTAGCCGAATGAAGGAGACAGGCCGCGCGCCGGGGAAAGAACGCGAGCAAAGGTCCCAGATACAACTAGTCCTTTTAACTGAGAGGGGTTGACGCAGGTCGGTTGCGACGCCCGCCCCGAGCCCCACCTCTTCCGCCCCGCGCACTCCCAGGACGCCATTTGTTGTACGGGCGCTTCTCCGTCACATTCAGGGGGATACCAGCAAACGCGCCTTCCTGGCGCGCCCCGTTCGCCCACGCCGCAACGGCAGCCCGAACACCTTCGATCGTCTCATACTCGATAAACGCAATGCTCTTTTGCGCCTTGACATCCACATGTCGCACTTTGAAGCCATACATATTAAACTCCTCGCGGAGACTACCAGCCAAGGCGCGCGTATCTTGAAGCTGCGCGCTGCTCAGAGTGCCTAACTGAATCACAGCTGTGGGTCCGAACACACGAGGATGCCCTCTGCTGCCCACATGGGTGGGTCGGTGACCATTTTGCGCCGTGGTAGGAGCTCTCGAAGTGGACGTGTGAGACGCGGCAGGCGGCCTTGAAGACGTCTCTTCCGATGCAATAGGAGGCATGTGTTCAAAGCTTTCTGTGGCCGGCGGTTGGGCGGAGGCGTTTTCAACGGCCTGCTTCGGAGCCTCGGCGACCGCAGCATTCGCGGCCTGCGTCTGGGCCGGAGCCTCGGCGAGTTTGACTTTTGCGGCGGGGGTCGCAGCGGCAGTGGCAGCGGCAGTGGCAGTGGCAGTGGCAGCGGCAGCGGCGGCAGCAGCAGCAGCCTCCTCCTTCGAGGACACGATGGAGGCCCAGGTCTTCTTGGCCGGCGGGGCCGGCGGGGCCGGCGCGGCCGGCGCGGCCGGCGCGGCGGCAGGGGGTGCCTGTTTCGGTTGTTCGGGCGCGGGGTTGGGTTGCGGCACGTCCTTTGTGACGGGCTCGGACTCGGAGGCGGGGTGCAGGTCTGGCTCGTTCGGCGGTGTTTGTGCGGGCTCCGGTTGCTGGGTTTGCTGAGCGGAGGCGGAGTGGTGTGGGTCCGGTGGCGTGGTGTTGTCTTGATCGGCGGTGCCGTTGATCTTGGTGTCGGGCACAGCGCGCTCGGTGGCGACCGGGGCCTCAGGGGTAGACACGGGCTGGTGGGCGGCGGGCGGTGCGGGGGGTGAGATCGAGACTGGGGCGCTGGTTTCAGGCTGTGGCGGGAGGACTTGATGTTGGGTGTGGTGGGCGGGAGCCGGGGGCTGGGCGGGGCCATTCGGGGCAGCTACGGGAGGGTCCTTCGGAGCGTGCTCGGCGGGTTTGGCGGGCTGGGCGGAGGCGGTCTCCGGGACGGGCATGGGCGGGGGCGGGCCGCCCGGGAGCGGGGCGACTGAGAGGTCGACGAAGATGTCGTTTCTGCAGAAGTAGTGGTCATCGTGCGAGTGGGACTGCTTCTCGAGGACGAAGGTGTGGGCGAAGACGGCGGCGGGGTTGTCCTTCTTGCGAAAGGTGCCGACGACGGCGACGACGAAGCCGGCCGCGGCGGCGTTCTGCACGGAGATGGAGGCGATGGAGGCGAGGGCGCCGGCCTGGGCCAGGGGGAGGTCCGGGGCGAGGGCGCCGATCGCGGGCGGGCCGTGCGCGACGAGCGCGGAGCCGTGGTTGAGCTCTGAGTCCGCGCCGTAGAGCTCGGGCAGACGGGCGGGGAGGGCGGAGATGACGCGGTAGTAGACAGCGACGAAGGAGTCGGCGACCCTGGTGGAGACAGAGGGAGGGGAGTTTACGCCCATTGCTAGACGCTAGAGCGCGTCTGAGACGGCGGGGGGGGGAGAGAGGGAGGGGGAGGGTGGGGGTTTGGAGGGTACGGACTTTAAGAGGGGAGCTATGTGGCGAGCACTTCATTGTGCATACCGACCATGCCTCATTGAGGTGGTTGATGAACGTAACCGACCCCAGCGGGAGATTAATCCGATGGAGGCTCCGCCTCTCGGAATTCGATTTCGAAATCAAGTACAAGAAGGGCAAGGCGAACAGTCAAGCTGATGCCCTGTCAAGATTACGGACCGCAGGAGAAACCGTCGACGAAATCGACGACGAAATCCCATGCTTTATGGCCGAACCGGCCGAGAGTACAGGGGAGAACGAGGAAAGTTTTGACGCGGTAGACGACATCCTCGCTCTTGAGGGGGGGACCGCCCCTGATCGCCTCGATCAATTCCAAGCTGGTCCTCCGGAGGAAGTCATTCGCGAGCAAGACGTCGACCCCCTTCTGCAACC